ATGTTATAATTAATGAAATTGAGAAATATATGATTTCTTCTATAGAAATATTTGTGACAATTTCATTAAATTATAATTAATAAAATATGAAATATAATTAAAGAAATGAAATTATAAATTTAACAAAACATGAATATTTATAATATTTTTAAATATACATACATATACTCTTTAAATTTCTAAATATAATTTTTTTAAGTATAAATCTATCAATATAAATTATAATTAATGAAATTATATTATAGAATTTTCTTATATACATATTAATACAATTTGAAATAAATCAACTTAATTATATAAAATTTTTTTATATAAATTTATCTAAATATGTACATGATTAGAGATTATATTAACCATACAAAATTTAAATTTTAATTTTGTATGTTATGAAAATAGATACTTGACTAAATATATAAAAGTCCAACTATATTATTATATTATACATTTTAACATCTTTTTAATTTTTTTTTATTTTAAATTCACAATAACAAAAATAAAATTCCGTGCAATGCATGGATAAAGCACTATATTTAAAAAATACAATTTGATAAATATCATAAATTAATTAGTAAAATATCATTTATGTTTATAATAACTAAATAAAATAAATAAATAATTCAACTATGTGAACCAATAATTTCAAAATGAAACTAATGTACAGTTACAAATAAATATAGCATGATTACATTACTTTAATTAGTTTTAATACCCTTAATGATATGACTTTTCTTTATCAATTTTTTGATGGGAGACTAAGTGAGTGTTTGGGTTGCTGGAAATTATTATTTTTAAATACTTACTAATAAAAAATAATTTTAAAATATTTTTTAACCCCTCATAACATGTGTATAGTACAATTTTACCCCTTAATGATATGACTTTTCTTTATCATAAATTAATTAGTACAATATCCTTCCTGTTTATAAATTATAATAATTAAAAAAATTAAATATGTGAACCAATGATTTCAAAATAAAATCAATATACAGTTACAATTAAATATAGCATGATTAGATTTACTTTAATTAGTTTTAATTTTCTTAATGAAGTGACTTTTCTTTATCAGTTTTTTATGGGAAGCTAAGGTAGTGTTTGGATTGCTGGAAAATATTTTAAAATAAAAATACGTATTAATAAAAAATATTTTAAAAATATTTTTTAACCCCTCATAACATGTGTAAATGTTATATTTTTTTTAAAAAAAATACAATTTGATAAATATCGTAATTTTTGTTTATAATAGGTAAAGAAAAAAATAAATAATTCAAAGATGTGAACAATGAATCAATGATTCACGTTGAGTTATTACCGAAAAAATCAGTCTTTAATCACGGTTAATTGTATGTGACTTTTTCCCGAGTCACCCATCCTGATGGTCTGATTGTTTTAACTCTAGACGGGAATGAATAAAATCTCGTTACTACCAATGTCGTCTACAAAGAGATTTTCAATAATGTATAATTCAAGCCATTGATATTATGTTTTTTAATATACAAAGATGACAAAATTGCTATATATCTACATAGAAAATATAACTTCCATATAAATAATTTCTATAACTGAGTTGCTAGACAACGAATTAATTAGCCCAATTAATACAAATTATAAACACTGATATATAAAATCTCTACCGTTACAGCAACGAATGCGTATATCTACACGTTAGCTATTAATTGAGAAATTATTTACTTGAATTCAAGCATTGATAACATCAGAAAACATAATCGGTGCAACTCAATTCTTCAATTATATTATATAATATTCGATGCTATAATTTATACAATTGTATATCAATCTAAATATTTTTAAAATAATATAACAAATTCATTCCGTGCAACGCACGAGCACAAATACTAGTTATAAAAATACAACATGAAAACTCAAAAAGTACGAAAGAAAAAAAAAACACTACAGTACTAATAAATTATTGTTAAGGACTAATGTTTAAAAATTAGTTAAAGAAAAGTATAAAGATTTGCCAAGCAAATTGTACTCAGATGACATGTAGTGACTCTCTCATATGGGAGATCATGAGATCGAGTCTCAGTGGAGGCACTGTTAACTCTTTGTGCTTCAATAGATTGTCAAGTTGAGAAAGTATAGATGAATAGATACTACAATATAATAGAGTCAGTAGTATTCAAAAAAAAAAGTATAAAGATTTAAAAAGAAAGTGTGACCAGGACTATGTGGTCTAATGGTACCCGGGTTGGACTTCCATTTGGAAGATTATGAGTTTGAGCCTCAATGGAGGCGTTATTGGTTCTTTGTGTTTCAGTAGGTTGAGAAAGTATATGAACAGATACTACAATGTAATAGAGCCAGTAACTTTTTACAATGTAATAGACCCAGTAACTTTCAAAAAATTAGTATTTTCACCTGTGCGTTGCACGGAATAGTTCGGTTATGATATTTTAAAAATATTTGGATCGATATATAATTGTATAAATTATAACATCGAATATTATATAGTGCAATTGAAGAATTAAGTTAGATCGATTATGTTTTATGATGTTATCATTGTTTGAATTCGAGCAAATAATTATATAATAGGGAAAATGACACTTTTTCCCCCTGAGTTATATACCTATTGCAACTTTTCCCCCTAAATTATTGAAGTGACTGTTTTTCTCCCTGAAATGTTAAATGGACATATTTACCCTTAAACTAAATATTTAATTTATTTTTTTCTCCAACAAATTATGACCATAATTTGGTTCAAACTAAACAAACACTATAGCAACCAAACCGAAATATTCCAATTACAATTTAGAATCGAAATTCGATATTTAGAGTTTATTAAAATCGTGAACCGGAACGGACGGTTCATGTTCCGAACTGAAAAAATAAAATACATTTGTTGTTGAATTTAGACTATTTTAAAATAAAAAATAAAATTTTAAAATAAAGATGGTTCAAAATCGCGAATCAGATCTGGAACCGCCGGTTCACGGTTCAAGATTCAATTTTTTTGATACATAATTTTAATAAATTGACATTTAAATATTGGGTTCTAGATCTGAATTATAACCGTAAACTATTAATTCGATTGCTTTAGTATCCGGTTCAATTCAAATCGAACCGTGGTCATCCCTACGTATACGCAATAATTTGTTGGAGTAGTAAAATAAATAAAATGTTTACTTTAAGGGTATAAATTTCAATTTAATATATCAGGGGGAAAAAGCACCACTTTTAGAATAATTGAGGGGGCTAATGTGCTTACCTAAATAATTGAGGGGGAAAAAGTGCTATAAGTATATAACTCAGGGGTAAAAAATGCCATTTTCCCTTATCTAATTAATAGCTAAGGTGTAGATATACGCATCCAGTGCTGGAAATTTAGAGAATTTATATATCAGTGTTTAAGATTTGTATTAATTGGGCTAATTAGCTCGTTGTCTAGCAACTTAGTTGTAGAAATTATTTTGTACGGAAGATATATATTTTCTATGTAGATATATAGCAATTTTGTCATCTTTCTATTAAAAAAAATATAATATCACTGGTTTGAATTACATATTATTAAAAATCTCTTTGTAGACGACATTGATAATAGTAATAGAATTTTGTCCATCCTCGTCTAGAGCTAAAACCTTCAGGCCATCAAGAAGGGTGACTCGGGAAAAAGCCATGTACACCTGAAGGGCAATCTCGTATCAAAAGGGGTGAGAGACATTCGGGGTATAAGAACTTTGGTTCTTTGATGTGTCTCATTAACTATTCTTGTTTCGACAAATGTGATCTGCCAATCTTGTGATGATGAGGCGCGTACCATTGCAAAGACCAAGAGAGTGGTCTATGTTCCGCAATAACATAATAGGTGCACCAACTTTTAATGTCAATGAATGATTAGGAAGTCCATACAATAATTTCAAACTATTTAAGAATTCAGGACTCTGTAATTCAGATAGATTTCCACCGTCTTATTCTGCCTTACATAGGGGTTTGCAAACTTCGGTAAAATTTTGGTTAACCGACCGAACCTACAAAGTTAGGTTAACCGTTTTATAACTGAACTTTTTTCGGTTTGGTTAATGGCTAAAGGTTTTTTTTTTTTTTTTTTTTTTAATTTCGGTTAACAATTAATTCGGTTCTAAACTTCGATTAACCAAATGAACCGAAATTTTAAATATATATAATTATATAAATAAATAAATAAATACATAATCTAATATGTAAAATCCCTATAAATTTGTAATATTTTTATGATATTGTTTTTTTGTATATTTCCTTATTGATTTATTATTATATGTATTATTTTAATTTCATTTATTATTATAGGTATTATTTTTACGATTTAAAACTTTAGTTTTAAAAAGTTTGGTTAATCGGTTAACCGACCGATTAACCGAAAAAAACTTCGATTCGGTTAATTCGGCAATACAAAGTTCGGTTCGGTTAACGGTTAAAGTTTTAAAAAATTCAGTTAAAATGGTATGGTTAACCGATTGAACACCCCTAGTCTTACACAAAGAGTCACAACTTAAATATGTTCGATCTTTTGCAGTGTTCATGTCGCACATGTTGTGATTAATTTGATAAACGACATCTAAAGTCGGTGAGATGATTGATCGGCCTTCTAGGTGCGACTCATCAAGCATGTCATATCTCGCACTTGGGGAGGTGCTTTCCACTATAGTTGCTATTGAATCGGGTCCACACTTCAACAGAAACCGTGCCAGAATATCGATCTCAGACAAACCGTCGTTACAACCCCTGTAATCCCATCTCCAATGTCTACAATCCATTTTGAAAACTAATCAACCGTCTGTCTATTTTCCTCTGAAGCTAGGCTCTGTAGTCTCAAGTTATTCGTGAGCCTCGATACCTTGCAATTTGTCCGAGGTAAGAAGAATTAATAGTGGCTCCGACAACTATTGGTCTCGTTTCTTTCAGAATAATGGGAAGAATCCGTCTAAAATCGCCACCCAAAACTACTATCTTTCCACCAAATGTCTTTTCAGCACTACCCGATATGGCGAACCTCGATAGATCCCTCATGGTTTTCGGTGCTTCGTCTCCCATATTATCAATTTGCTCCTTATTATAAGCTCAGCAAGGTCATTGCCTTGCGATGTATTGCACGTGGAATCTTCGTTCAAAGAGAGTGGTATAGCAAATCTGGAATGCGTCGTCTTGCCTCCCGGCAAGAGCAAAGATGTTATTCCACTCGAAGCAACGTTGAGAACAATATCACAGCGGCTCCATATCTTTGACGATAACATTCTCCACACGAACGTCTTGTCTATTCCTCCGTAACCATACACAAAGAACAATTCACATCCTTTAGAATCAATATCATTCATCACAAATTCGTAGACATTCTTATGCTCATTCGTCAATTGTGTTACCAACGTTTCATGCTCTGTCATCAACGATTCCTTGTCATACGCCAACTCTTCGGCCAATGTAAAAGGGTTTATACCAAAAAGAGATTTGATACATGAAACTGACAACAATATAATAAATTAAAAGTCAACTACCATTTACAAAATGTCAAACTTGAATTATCTAATTTAATTTAATCTTCTTGCGACTTGAAGAAAGCTCTCTTTGGATTAAGGACATGTTGTGCTTTCCAGATCATATCGAGCTGAGAGCACATTCCACAATACTAATTAGAATGCATGAAAATTGTCTGCTTAAGTATTTATCAGCACAAAAACAAAACAATTATAACGAATCAAAATTTTAAAATCTCCGTCAAACATAAAGAAAAACGTGAGAATATAAATTTTACCTGATTGAAAAGCCAAGCTCCAAATTGCTCTTCCTCAATCTTCTTTTTCATTCTTAGTGATGGAGTGCTGAGTTTTGGGCTATATTTATAGGTGATTTAGAAGTGTTTGAGTTACAACATGGAGTTGGGAGATTGAGTTTGATTTTAACTGGGTTTATCAGTGTTGTATGGAATTAAGCTTTATAATATTAGAATAGGAATCTTAATGTAGAATTGTAGTACGCATAAGAAAGTATGAAACAATATATTCTATTAGGATTTGTATTACACTATTTTACAATATTAGAATAAGAATTTTAACGTAGAATTAATGTACGAATAGGAAAGTAAAAAATAGGAAAGAATATATTCTATTAGGAATTGTATTACACTATTTTAAAATATTATATTAGAATAAGAATTTTAATGTAAAATTATAGTACGAATAGGAAAGTAGAAAATAATATATTAAAATTTGAGGATTTTGGGCGGGAAGTTAAAGTTTAGGATTTTGTTTTTATATATATCTACTATCTATCTACTATATATATATATATATATATATATATATATATATATATATATGTATATATATATATATATATATATATATATATATATATATATATATATATACATATATATATATATATATATATATATATATATATATATATATATATATATATATATATATATATATATATATATATATATATATATATAATATATATATATATATATATATATATATATATATATATATATATACTAATAAGAGCCCAAGAGAGTTAGGCCTATAATGGGTAGAAAAAATGGCGGTCAAATTTTTTAATCAAATGAATGGCTCAGATTGATCAGATTTTAATTTTTCCATAAGATTTCCTAATATATCCTTAATGAATATGATTTTCCGTTAACTTTTCCGTTAAATATTATCTTTTCCGTTAATTTCTGTTAGTTCACCGTTAACTTACTCATTGATTTCAATAAGAAAGGTCTTAGGTTCGAACCTCATCCCAATCAAAGTTGACATAATTAGTACTCTATTTTACTCTTATTAAATTAAATAATAATTTAGCAGCTACAACAAAAAATAATACATATGCATTTCTTTAATTTAGAATTACGTGCCTACAATATCTTTATTAAAAAAAATTATTCATTATCAATAAATTAAATAAGAGAAATAATTTCATTAGTTATATTGTCTTTATTTTTCTCCAATATAAAAATTCTTTAAATTCAAATTCATCAATTGATTATATTCGCTACACTGTCCCTACAATGTCTTTATTAAAAAAAAATATCATTCATTATCAATAAATTAATTAAGTGAAATAATTTTATTAGTTATATTGTCTTTATTTCTCTCCAATGTAAAAATTCGTTACATTCAAATTCATCAATTGTCTATTATCTTTTTTGTGCAATAGTTTTTGATTAAATATCAAAGGTATAATACAAAATAATGCTATATATTTATTTACCAAGTATTTTATTAATACCACGAAAAAATTTAAAAAATATAATTAATAAAGCCAAAGTATTCAAATCACACAACAAATTGAAGTGAGAACTACCTCGCAATGTCCTTGTTTGACAATCAGCGGTAAACGTTAGCGAAAATGACCAGCGAATTATATCAACGGTCGGTTAAAAGATATTTGAAAAAAGTATGTAGTTGTTTAGATTAACATGTAAAATGACCTAAGGGTATAATAATAATAATAATAATAATAATAATAATAATAATAATAATAATAATAATAATAATAATAATAATAATAATAATAATAATAATAATAATAATAATAATAATAATAATAATAATAATAATAATAATAATAATAAATAATAATAATAATAATAATAATAATAATAATAATAATAATAATAATAATAATAATAATAATAATAATAATAATAATAATAAATAATAATAATAATAATAATAATAATAATAATAATAATAATAATAATAATAATAATAATAATAATAATAATAATAATAATAATAATAATAATAAAATAATAATAATAATAATAATAATAATAATAATAATAATAATAATAATAATAATAATAATAATAATAATAATAATAATAATAATAATAATAATAATAATAATAATAATAATAATAATAATAATAATAATAATTAATAATAATAATAATAATAATAATAATAATAATAATAATAATAATAATAATAATAATAATAATAATAATAATAATAATAATAATAATAATAATAATAATAATAATAATAATAATAATAATAATAATAATAATAATAATAATAATAATAATAATAATAATAATAATAATAATAATAATAATAATAATAATAATAATAATAATAAATAATAATAATAATAATAATAATAATAATAATAATAATAATAATAATAATAAATAATAATAATAATAATAATAATAATAATAATAATAATAATAATAATAATAATAATAATAATAATAATAATAATAATAATAATAATAATAATAATAATAATAATAATAATAATAATAATAATAATAATAATAATAATAATAATAATAATAATAATAATAATAATAATAATAATAATAATAATAAATAATAATAATAATAATAATAATAATAATAATAATAATAATAATAATAATAATAATAATAATAATAATAATAATAATAAATAATAATAATAATAATAATAATAATAATAATAATAATAATAATAATAATAATAATAATAATAATAATAATAATAATAATAATAATAATAATAATAATAATAATAATAATAATAATAATAATAATAATAATAATAATAATAATAATAATAAAATAATAATAATAATAATAATAATAATAATAATAATAATAAATAATAATAATAATAATAATAATAATAATAAAATAATAATAATAATAATAATAATAATAATAATAATAATAATAATAAATAATAATAATAATAATAATAATAATAATAATAATAATAATAATAATAATAATAATAATAATAATAATAAATAATAATAATAATAATAATAATAATAATAATAATAATAATAATAATAATAATAATAATAATAATAATAATAATAATAATAATAATAATAATAATAATAATAATAATAATAATAATAATAATAATAATAATAATAATAATAATAATAATAATAATAATAATAAAAAAAAAAAAAATAAAAAAAAAAAAAAAAAAAAAAAAAAAATAATAATAATAATAATAATAATAATAATAATAATAATAATAATAATAATAATAATAATAATAATAATAATAATAATAATATAATAATAATAAAATAATAATAAATAATAATAATAATAATAATAATAATAATAATAATAATAATAATAATAATAATAATAATAATAATAATAATTGTTTTAAAAAATAAAAAAAATGAAAAAAATATAATTAATCCAATCATATTAACTACTTGGGGGATCTATTGATAAAAAGAGTATTCAAATCACACACCAAATTAAAGTGGGAAACTACCTGGCAATGTCCTTGTTTGGCAATCAGCAGTTAGGTCTTCAATATTAGTATATATTTAATATTTTATGCCCTAATTTTTATTTGCTTTCCCTTATATCCCGTATTTGGTTTCAATCATACCTATACAATTATTTTATTGACAATTATAATCCATCTTAATTGACTATACTATCTTGCATTTGTAAACTTAGAATTACCTTTTTAAATACGCAAATTCAACATTCAATTAGTTAAAAAGAAAAAAACATTGGGCATTATCCCAATCGCGCAATGCGCGTAAAAAACTAGTAGTATAGATAAGAGCGAAAGAAAGTTAGACCTATAATGGGTAGAAAAAATGTCCGTCAAATTATTAAATCAAATGAATTGTTTAGATTTTAATTTTTCCTTGAGATTTCCAAATTTATCCTTAATTATATGATTATCCGTTAACTTTAGTGTTAAATATTATCTTTTCCGTTAAAAAACAACACATCATTTTAGGAGTTTTTGAAAAAGATTCCTACTACGCAAATTACACTGTGCAACCGTGTGCACCATGCATAGTGCACACGGTTGCAAAACGGCGTCGTTTTTATTAAAAATGACGCTGACCGACTTAAAAATAAAAAAAGTCATTGTCGATTGCATGTTAACGGCGTTATGATGTGCATAATTTGAACTACATGACCAGAATTAAAATGAACTATATATCCAAAATTAATGAACTATATATCCAGAATTAGTAAACTATAAATACACACCGGTTACTAGTACTATGTGTTGGGTTATGGCAGTTCGTTGCGTCTGTGTATTCAGAGTGAATAAACTATATATTCAGAATTAATGAACTATAAATTCCGAATTAGTGAACTATATATCTAGAATTAATGAACTATATATCCATACTTAATGAACTATATATCTGATAGTACTAATTGCCACGTAATGCGGTAATTAAATAAACACAAGACCAAATAAAGCAATTAAATGTCTTTTATTGATCGAGGTGAAGGCCCTAAGTACAATCTAAATGGTTGCTCTGAGTACCGACTGACTGCGGTCGGGATTCTCTAACAACAACCTATCGATCGTCCAAAAGTCCTCCACACTGTCGCTATCGCGGGTATTTATAGCCGCGGAGCTGGAGACACAA